TTATATATATATATAACTAGGAATGGAAAATTATTGATGATAACATGCCACTATGCAGTATATTCTGGATGGGAAACCACATGTTGTATGCTGTGACGATGCTTAGGGGATGAATGTAAATTAATTTTTAAAAAAGTTTCAGGAGGAATAAAAAAACACTTAAACTATTTTTCTTGAAATTAAAAAAATGCATATTTGATGACTACAGTAAACTATATAGCCCCAGCTAGGTGCTACTTTATAGTATGTTCATTCTACTCACTGAGGCTTATGCCTAAAGTCAGACTTGGGTTCTAGATATGTATATATCAACTGCTCTTGCTATTGGACATATTTAGATATTAAGTTCATTAGCAAATCAATAAAATGGGGGGGAAAGGCATGGAGAGCAACCATGGACACCAGAGACAGTGTGGGAGGAGAGTGGGACATGGCAGAGGGTGAGAGATAGGGAATCAAGGATGGAAAAAAAAGCAAAATATACAGGAAACAAGAACTGGAAAATTATTTGTTGACAATAACATGTATTTTGATGTGCTTGATTGAGCCAATATACAGTGTATTCTGGATGGAAAATCTCATTTTGTATGCTGTAATGATGTATAGTAAATGAATGTAAATAAATTTAAATTAAAAAAATAATAAAAGTTTTTTTAAAAAAATGAGGAAACAAATCTCCACAGAACAGAACAGGATGGAACTCTCTTGGAGACAAAGAAAGGGGTCTAAATTATGACTTTTAAAGAATAGCTTTTCCTTATGAATATTTTTTTTTCTTTGTGTGTATGTATGGCGGGAATCTGTTAGACATTTATTCAAGACCGTTCCCTTTTTTGTTGTTTCTGATTCTAGCCATCCTAATGTATATGGGTTTTAATTTGCTTTTTCTCAATGACTAATAATGTCTCAAATGTTTTTGTGTACTTATTGGCCGTTTGTATGGCTTTGGAGAAATGTCTATTCATATCCTTTACTCATTTTTCAGAGGGGCATAAGACACACATTTATTATACTATGGTTTTGGGAATACAGTAGTGAACAAAATAAAACAAAACAGCCAATCCATGTTGTCATTTCTGCTAGTTGGTACCAACAAACAATATTTGAATGAAAAAATGAGGGTGAGCAGATGATGTAGTGTTTAAGAAACTGGATCAATGTTCACAGCAACATTATTCATAATAGCCTAGAGGTAGAAACACCCTATCATCAGCTGACATGGATCTCACTGGTATAAAATCAATGTTTCAGCAGAGCTGCATGATTTTTTGAAAGCTGAAGGTGAGAATCAGTTTTTTGCCACCGGCGTTCCTTGGCTTACTTCATTTTCAAAGCCATCAACTTTGTATCTCTTTCCTCATACCATATAATATACAAAAATTAGTTCAAAATAGATGAAATATGTAAATGTAAAAACTAAAAAGATGACTTTCTTTGTAAATTACCTAGTCTCAGGTAATCTGTTATACCAACTAAAAATGGACCAAGACAGATCGAAGCAGGTGCACTTCAATCTTGTGATGTACCTCTATCTTGTGATGCACCTCCATCTTGGTTTCTTAGTTAAACATTGAAAGTCTTGTCCTCCTTCCTGGTGCAGCTATAATAATCCTTGGTTAGGCTGTGGCTAGAGTCATGGTATCTTGGAGAACCAGCAGATGACATAGCGGTTACATAGCTGGACTCCAACACAGTCGGCTGAGGTTCCAGTCCCAGACCCAGCAGTTACAAACTTCTACCATGTGCGTCCCTGCCCAAAATCTCAAGAAGAGAATGGAAGAGAAGGAATTGTGGTGTGGTCACCCCCCAGGGGTGGGGGGTGATTTCTCACTTTTTGTCTCTGTTTTTCTCTGTCTTTCTGACTAGCACACACACCCTGCCTTTCTGACTACCACCCCCCCCCTATAACAAAAAAAAAACAACAACAACAAAAAAAACTCTCCAAAAAAAAAAAAAAATTACACTGGGACCACGAGGGGGTATGGTGGTTAAGGTGTTGGATTCTCACAAGGCCAACTGTGGTTTGAGTTCAGTACCCAGCGGCTTCGAAATCACTACGGGTGTCTGTAGGTCCAAAATTCCGAGAGGAGAGTGGAGGATAAGGGATTGTGCCGTGGCTGTGTGTGTGAGTGTGTTGGGGGAGGGTGTTCCTCACTTTCCCTCTCTCTGCCTCTGTCTGTCTCCCGTGAGAACATGCTCCCTATGGCAAAAACTCACACACACACTTAACAAAATCCTTAAAAACAACAAAAATCTCTCTTCAATAATAATAATAATAATAATAATAATGATGTTGAAGAGGGGGACCAGCAGATGGTGTAATAATTACTTTGCTGGACTCCCACAGTTAAATTCCCAGATCCAGAGGCTTAAAACTCACACAGGGGATGTGTGTGTGTGTGTGTGTGTATGTGTGTGTGTTGTGTGTGCCCAAAATCCTGAGAGGAAAATGGAGGAGAAAGGATTGTGGCATGGTCATCCCCCCTGAGGGGTGATTTCTTACTTTCTCTCTGTCTTTCTCTTCTGTCTCTTCGGTGAGCACACATGCCCTATAGTAAAAATCTCTCTTTAAAAAAGTGTTGAAGAGGATGCGAAGAAATTGGAACACTTATACTCTGCTGAAGGAAATGTAAAATAATCCAGTTACTTTAGAATATAATCTGAACATTCCTCCTCAAACAATTAAATATAGTTACCATTTGTCATAGTTTAGGCTGCTATAACAAAGAACCATAGTCTAGGTGGCTTATAAACAACAGACATTTATTTCTCACATTCTGAATGCTAGAAGTCTGAGATCAGGGTGCCTGCATGGTGGGATTTTGGTGAGAGCCCTCTTCAGGCTTTCAGACTGTTGACTTCTTGTATCCTCACATGGCAGAAAGAGGAGCATTAGCTCTCTGGCCTCTTATTATAAGGAAACCAATCCCATTCATAATGGCTCCACCTTATGACATAATTACTTCCCAAAGGTCTCACCTCATGCTGGGGTTTAGACTTCAACATAAAATATGCAGTCTGCCATGTGAGATCCAGCCACCTTAACCACCATGCCACTGGCTGGCCCAAATTTGAAGGTTTTGTAGGTAACTCTATTTGATCTATCAGCACCACATATAACTTTTTTTTAAAAAAGGCAGCTTTCAAAAGATGCATCTTAGTAAACTACTGAGAAACAAGACTCACCAACAAGATTTGATAGATCACTTGTCCATAAACATATCATTCAGTGTTCAGCATTAGAAGTTGCTTTGTAGCCTGAAAAGTTTTCTCTACTATGTTGATTGAAAAGTTAAGGATAACTTAATCATTATATGAACAGAATAAATCCATACCATCCCCTCTATATATATTCCTTATCTTTTAATTCCTTCCTGTTCTGTCTACATTTACCCTTTCTTCTTATGTATTTATTCACATTTACTATACTAACTGTTTTTTACCTCCTATAGTATGGTAATTAAATCAGACGTCTCTGAGGTTATGTCCAAATTTGTCTCAAGCAGAACTCTTACAAAGTAATATTTGGCCCCTGGGTTTGTAACTTTCCTCTACTAGCGGTATAAGCTTGAGAAATTTATTGTGCCTCAATTTTCTTCTTCTGTAACATGCGGATATTAATTGTATCTCTTTTATAAGATTAAAAGAATTTATGTGAGGTACTTATAATAGTGATTGACAAATAATCTATTATTAATAACTCTTTACTCAATTTCTTTATTTCAATCAAACCTCTTTAAAATAGCTGTCTGAACTGACTCTAGCTACAACTGTTAATGTTAATTTTAGGGGGTACAGAGTTTTCCAAAGCAGCTCAAGTGTTCTGTGTTGGAAAGAATTAAAGATGGGGTTAGACTGAGAATTTAAACTGAAGGCAAATAAAGATTATAACTAAAACTATAACCAAGTCCACTGTAGTGGAATGTTCTGGTAGACATTAACTCAGCAAGATGAGGTCACATGGTCAAAAAAAAGCAAACAGAAAAACAAATGAAAACATTAAAATTCATGAAACATTGTAATTAATTCTTTACCCCGAGTCTGGGATAAAGAAGGATAGTAAACATTTGATCAGGAAGAAACATTTCCTGTTTATCAACATTGTGAACCTTGGTTGAAGATTCCAAAGGTATACTCCTCTGTAGATGCTCTTCTCCATGTATTAAGTACAGGTTTGGGCTTTGATAAACACTACAGGCAGAAATCAGTACACTGTAATGAATTTTTGAAGGATAGATTAAGAGTTCAGATTCACTGCTTATTTGATTAAAATGCTTGATATATTAAGAAAACCCTAGTCACTTTTATAAAGAAATTTTAGAGCCCAGAGTCAACTTAGAGATCATTCTCCACTCAATTCAAAGGGAAGGAACTGTTGCTAGTTAGGTCTGAGGTATAAGCAAGTTCTAAACAAGCCCACAGACTTTTATCAAGTGTTCTTGGACTCTTTGTTTTTTCTCCATCAATTGAATTTTCTAATTCAATTTTTTTTTTTATGATAGAGAGGATGTGTACATGAATGCAAAATAAAGAGAGAGGAAAAGAGAACCTTTCAGCAGGGTCTTGTCATGTCACAATCCCCTTTTTTAGTCCTCCAGCTCCTTAGGATCTAGGGTGTTTAGTATGCACCCAACACAATTTCAGGCAGACCAAGGGATCTGAAACTGTGGTTGGCCACGTGGCTTCTAGCAATGCAATGTAGTACAGTACAGACTGTGCCATCTAGGCTAAGTCTATGTATAGAATTTTAAAGTGGTTATTTTAAAATTGCTGATGGCCAGCTCTGTGGCTTGATGATTAAGGCTGCTGGACCCCACATAGCTGCCCATGAGTTTGAGTCCCGGGTCCAGCATCTTGAAAAAAACATGCCGAATGTACATGTGTGGGGGTGGGGGGTGCTCTCTTGCTTTCTGTCTGTCTCTATGTCTCTTTCCTGTGAGTGCATACACGGTCTGTCAAATAAAAAGAGAGTGATCAATTGGTCTGGTTCTCACTCCAGTGTTACCAGTTATTTCTCTGAACATTTGTTTTAATGAGGGTTCAGAACTCAATAAGCATTATTTAAATAATGAGGAAGAAGAGATCACTTCAATAAAATGCAAAAAAAAAGAGGAGAGCTTTGTCTCTGAGGTTCTAGATAGGAAGGACGTTTTCTTCCCAAAGAGTTTTTGTCCTTGAAATTGCACAGCAACAAACTGTACTGGCTGCATGGCCTGTCTGATATTATAGAAAAGCCCCCCAAAGTCAAGATCCCGAATTTCTTCAACAATGAGGTGAAAAAAGAGAACTAGATAAAGATTTGAGTCGAGGTTGGGTGGTAGCAAACATCGGAGTGATAGCAAACAGCAGGGTCCCCTGCAGACATAGGTCAGCTCCTAAGAATCCTATACTGGCTGGAAAAACTCCTTCTAGCTCTCCTATTCTTCTTAGGAGCAGCTTGTGTGAGCACTTCAAGGAAAGTGGGGACATGAAGCTCATGGACCCCTCTAAGTGTGTGATGGGCAAGACTGGACAGAGTGGTGAGTGTGAACAGTCAGGGTGTGCAGCCCTCTTTTCCTTCCTCCAACAGACCTGTGGAGGAAGTTGCTGAAGCACATAAGTCATGACATTGTGGACACCCTCAGCTGGTCGCCCAAAACTCAGCATGACCTCAGCTCCTTCCTGGTAGACATGTGGTTCTGAAAGGGGAACCCTGCTTTCTCCCCTGTTGATCAGGAGGGCCTGAGGTAGGAAGGAGGTAAAGGGGGTCCTAAGCACCTGAATTCTTCCCTTTCAGGAAATGATGGTGTGCTTTTCTGTGAATGGGTTGTTAAAGGAAGATATAGTCTGTATAGTCCCTTCTCCAAAGTCCCTACTGCCTCCCCCCTTGTCTGGTCTCCTTCTCTGACCTCTTCCAGCCTCCTTGATCCCTTCTCTCCCCTTCCTATTCCTTATATGTTCTTCTGTTCCCACTCGGCACTCCCCAAGAATGACTTGCTTTCTTTTAAAATCATAAATTCAATAAAAGTATGCATGAATTGAAAAATCATGGGCCAGTCAGTAGCATGGTGTCTAAGGTAGTGGGATCCCACATGGCCATCTGAGCTATTTGCATCCTGGACCCTGAGGCTTGAAAAGCATGCTAGGTACATATGCATGTGAGCTCCAAATCCCAAGATGTAGGAGAAAGGATTACAGCATAGCCATCTTCCCTGGAGGGTGCCTTCTCTCTTGCTCTTGCTCTCACTCTCTCTCTCTCTGGTTAGCATAACAAAAAAAAAAAAAAAAAAAGAGTGAGAGAAAACAAAAACAACTTTGCCCCATAAATATGTATGACTATTATGTCAATCAAAAACCATAAAAATGTTTCTAAAAGTTTAGAAATACTTTCTCTACTGACAAAAGAAAAATATATTAAGATGTAAACTACTGGGAGAACATATTTGGAAACAACATTGCAGACTTTATGTTAATAGGCCTGTACATACAGGACTTTTGCTAATTAGAAGAGAGAGTGACAAAGATAAACAATTAATTTACCAAAGAGGCCAAATGATTCTGCAATAAACATCTGCATGGAGTCCAAACGGCACCCGGCTACAGAAATAAAATCTGAAAATGTCACAATATGTGGAAAATGCAATCAGGTAAAGTAAGGACCTGGATTTTGCAAGGAAGAGTCTCTGTGTTCCGTAGATAAACACAATGTAATGCAATTGATACAGCCTGGCATGCAGCATTTGTTGTATTTGTTGCTATAAGTACCTAGGTCCCAGGCTCCTGATTGTAGCTAACCACCTCTGCAGAGGTAGTGTAGCTGCAAACAGCTCCCTGGGTGTTAACCTGGTAGCAAACTCAGGGGGCAGTAAGAACAAAAAGTAGTCTTTTCTGGCCCCCCAGGGCTCTCCTCTTTTTGTTCTTGGAAAAGGGACTTCCTGTGAGGACTCCATCTTGTTCGTGTGACTCTGACAAAGTGGTTTGGGGCTGCTCTCACTTTCCTCAGCAGCCTTCCTTAATATTTTCTAAATTCCTAGCTCCAGACTGTACAGATTTCATCAAAAGAGCTCTGTGAAGACAGTGGTGATAAATCACTGCCTTCAGGACACATCATGGGTGAGTTGCCAGCGTAAGACTTTGACCTTGGGTCCCCACAGGGTAAAGAGTCGGTGGGCTCCCTCCCCCAGCCCCACCCCAACTTGCGAAACACCCATAAGACTCACCTTTTTATTGTTACTTTTTTTTAAAGAGGTTTTTGCTATAGGGCATGTGCGCTCGCCAGACAGACAGAGAGACAGAGAGACAGAAAGCGAGAAATCAA